GGGAGCATCTGAACCTGGAAGTTTCTCAGGGTCCAGTGTCCCACCAAGCTGATGCCAGCAGGGCAAGAGTAGCAACAGAGGGGACTCTGTCGTTTCTCTTCTCCTCTTTTCCCTAGATGAGCCCATCTGGAGGCAATGCACTGCTGAGGGAAGGGCTGGAGCTGAAGAAGCCCTATTTTTTAACTATTGTGTCCTCTTTGCACCAGGATGTCCCCTTCTGACTTCTAGGAGATCTTCCAAGTCAGCTTTTGTGAACCTGGAAAACAGGTGCTTTTTGTAGTAGCTGTGCGGGGGAAGAGGTGGTGGGGTGAAGAATTGGATTTTGGTGTCCCACTTGCAAAATCATGGAAGTGTCTACAGTCTAAGGGAGAAGAAGCACAAAAATCTTATCATGATTGAGATATTCCTAAGATTCTGCTTTTAACCTGGATTTATTATTGTTATGTATCCTGAGTGTTACTTTTCATGGAAAGGTGGACTACTGAATAAATTTAGGGACATGTGTCACATCCACCATCAAAAGCAGCATAACATTTACACATAGCATGTGATGGGTTAGAACAGAGGTGTTAGTGGCACCACAGTTCGTTCTCTAGACGTCCTTACTACAAATACTTATATTCGCATAGTATACTGAGGATAAAAGCAAGGGTCTAAAACCCAAATTATGCAGCTGTTCTCTGTGTACCCCACACGTGACCCACAATACAGTCCATCAGAGAAAAGAATCCCGCTGTCAGCAACACCAGCACCACAAACCTAATGTCCCAGGGATTGCGAAGTACCTGTGATAGCTGCTCTCCTGGTGTTATAGGCAGTAGGAAGCACTGATTGCAATCAGGTCTGGGTGGGGGCTGCCCCCTCACCAGCACTGCCACGACTTCCCCATCTAGAATGGGGATGAAGCCTGCATATATGGGCTTGCAAGATGCAAAGGAGGTCAGGTTAGAAACGATCAGTGACCTATTTCACTAATGCTTTAAGACAAAAGAAAACATAAAAAAAGAAAAAGGATCAATTATAGATGTCTGTTCAAACAAAGGAAATCAATAAGCCTCATAAGTTAGGTGAAAACTATTAATTAGTGTATTACATCAATCCACCAATCCCAGAAACAGTGTCAATTAGATTGCAAAGTGTCCTAGTCGGAGATACAAGTAAATCCCTCGGAGACACAGAAGCATTCAAAGCATATTGAGAAGGACAGATAAGAATAATAATTCATGACTGATGTTTTGATGAGGCATTGTTTTTGGTCAGACAGAGAAGAAGAGAGGCAAATGTCAGCCTGCACAAGCAATTTTATGTTCTTGTATGCTCTCTACTGACTTCCCAAGCAGCTCCCTAGAGGAAAGATACATGTCATCATTCCTTCTCAATCCTTCAGTCACACAGAAGGCCTTCCCCGAACCTGTTTAACACTCACAAATGACAATACAAAACATGACATGGAAATCAGTCAGTGAAACACATTGTGGTCGCAATACACTGCGTTCCAGATCTACTTCTTTAATAGATTCTTTTAGACTGTTCTTCTAAAGAAGTTGAAGGGTGCAGTGGGTAGAAATTAAATTCTAAAGAAGGGTGCAGTGGGTAGAAATTAAGATTGGCTATAAACAAATTGGGAGAAAATCAAGCTATGAATTGAGTATGCATCAGAAATGTCATGTTTCATGTTTAGACACAGTTTCTGTCCAAGGTTTTTGTGTGCATGTGTGTTAGAGCTAGTAGTCTGCCATTTGACATTAACTGTTATTAAAAGTGTCAATAGAAAAAGACAATTTAGTTCCAGACACTGCTATATCGTCATTTAATTTGAGAGATATTCCTTCTATGGGCACAAGGTCACTCAGTGAAGGTGATCCAGTCCATAATCTTAGATGCTAGTGGGGATTTCCATTTCCCTAATACCAAATCATTCTTCTTTACCCCCTTGTTATTAATGCACTAAGCAGGATTTTTTTTCTTTTCCGCTGCTTAGACTGTCTTGTGTGAAGAAAAGCTTTAATATAAAGTCTCGAACAATGTGCGTGCAGCTCCTATGGCCATTTGTATTAATCAGTGACTTCTCTCTCCTCTACCAACTTATCAACCTTTTAAGCTGCAATCAAGTGGCTTCTTGGTTAAATTTCTAACACACCCTTTGTTAAGCAGGAAAACAAATTCTCCTTTTGGAGAGTTCTTGAATTTACATTTATAACAGCAACAGTTCATCCAGCACTTACGTCTATTTCAGCATTTGGTTGGCACATATTTGACTACAAAACAGAAGCTCCTACAATAATCAGAATACTACCTGACAGAATAATTTTGCATAAATATAGTATTAGGCCATCTTCTCACAGTGGTTCTATGCTCACATAAATCCTGACTAAGCAACCCAAACAAGACAATCTCAGGAGAGTTCTTCTTGCCTTTACTTCCCTCTCATGGGATCTTCCTTCCAGCAGTGGTGTTGTGTCCTAATGGTTAGAGCACTGGATGATCTCGGTTCTAGTCCCTGCTTGGCCATGGAGCTTACTGGGTGACTTTGGGCCAGTCACTTACACTCAACCTATCTCATAAGGGTCTTATGAGGATAAATTGCAGTTCAGGCCTATATGGTTGAATTTGACCTGGTTTACCCTGGGAAAATTATGCGTCCAGATGAGAAAGAATTTACATTACTATCTTTGTTCTACCATCATTGCTTTCGCTTAGGCTATTTTTTTTTTTATTTCCTTTTACTTGGAACACCAAATCAGAGACTGTAAGATTGAAACACTGCAAATATGAAATCACATTTATTTGGGCCTTGCTATTTACAAACAGGCCAAGGGTCTTTGGCACGCTAACGATTCTTTGTTAATCAACAAGTCTGTCAAAAATCAGATTTTTGCTGAATTACTGTGTTTTGCACTTAATGAGGAAATGGCTTACTCATGTTCCACTGAATGGGAGGGAAGTAGAGCATCCACATTATCACAGTGCATGCAAATGCAAGCAGACACCATTCAGGACAGAATGTCTTACTGCAAATGTTGGGGCTTGTGGGCCTGTTTGTGCACCCAATGCGTCTGCAGGCACTGCACAAATACTGTGGACGGTCACATTGACCGTGTTTGCACACCTACCGCTGGCTAAGGACTGCACATATTGTGGGAATCGTCTGTTTAACAGGAGAATGCTTCGGTGCAAAAAGGAGGCCTGCTAGCACATGCATACGTTTGCAAATTTGTTCTTGATTCAGTTTGCTCCCTAGGCCAGAGTCGAGTGTGTGAAAGGAGTACGGTGAATGCAAGGGAGACAGAATTCCGCAAATTTTCGCATCAGTAGTGCATAGCATATATGTGTTCATTGCAATACGTTTACTTAAAACCCATGTAAGAAAATAGCAACATTTTATTTATATTTTATGTTCTCTTTTTTTCTTTGGGATTTGGTTTTAATTGTTAAATCCACAATAAAAAACAAGTAAAGAAAATGCAGTTCACTGGGTGACTTTGGGCCAGTTACTGACTCTCAGTCTAAGAAACCTCACAGGGGTGTCATGAGGATAAAGGGAGAGGAGGGTTATATAAACTACCTTGTGTTTCTTGGAGGAAGAAAGGCAGGATATAAATGTAATGAATCTATCAATAGTCACTGTGGCCCACAGGCAGTATGTGACTATGTCATTCGACCAGGACAAATGACATTGCGCTAGAGAAACTGAGTTCTGAATAACATGCAAAAGGAGAATGCAACTAAAGTTACGTTTGCACAAGGTTGGGCACGTACTGGCACGTTGTGCTTGCAGAATTGCTTGTGGTAGTATAATCTGCTATCACCTGTACAGAGGAAAGATTCCAAGGAGCTCCAACAGTACTATTATACATTGTGACACGCTACAGTAAGATAATACACAGTGCACAGAATGTAGCGCAGGGGAATCTCAGTTTAACTTATCTCACAGAATTGTTCTTTTTTTATATCTAGGGATGTCATGATAGTCTGCCAGGTTGAAGCAGTTTTACGGCTCTGCATATGCATCCAGGACTCTCCTTATGTTTAACTCAATCAAATTTAATTTCCATTGAGGAGAAAATTGCTGAAAGATGGCACATGATGCTCAGAGGAAAAAAAAAGCTTAAATGCAAGTAAATAAGATACACACCAAAAGCTAGTGTGGCATAGTGGTTACAGTACTTTACTGTGACTTAGGAGGTCTGGGGTCTCATTATCCCATTTTCCCATTCTTATACTAGTTCTGTCCCATTTTTGCATCAGCTGCAAATTGAAATACAAACTGATCAAAATTCTCCTCTGTCCATAACAATGAAGAAATTTCTTAGCACGTGTTGTAGGTGCAGAGTGGAGGCAGAGAGCTCATCAGCATTTCTACGCAGTTCAAAAAAACTATCACTTGTGTTTTATTACTTTATGGTGCAGTATGTGGGAATCACAGATTCTAGAGCTTAAGTGAAACAAAAAAAATGAAACCAATTGTTCTGTTTGTTCTAGCTGTACAAGTGATCTGGCCAAATTGATTCAACTAAGTATATTTTGTGCTCTTCTGAGCTGCGAGGGGTGGATCTGAAAAAAGTTGACCCTTTTATGGCGACTGCTATGCCTCTAAAAAGAAGGAATAGACTGTAAGATGTACTAGATGGAACTCAGAAGTTATGCTTCTTTGGCATGTGATATCCATTTACAAATTCAATCAATATCCTATTTAGCATGGTCTGTTTCTGAATCCTGGCAACAGGAAGCATCAGGAGAGAAAGTTTTGTGCTCAAATACAAAGATTTGGTACTCTTGAACAAGCCAAATGCTTGTTTTCTTACAAAACACAATTTTTCGTCTTTGCAGGTACGGCATGGCAATAAATATGCTCTGACTTCTTTCCTTCTCTATTTCGGTTCCTACCCTCACATTGTCATACAACAAATCTGTGGGCAAAGATACTTCAACAGGAATTGTACAACAGCAGATCCCAATAATCCATCAATACTTTAAAAATGTCTATTAAAAGCTCTTACCGGAGGAGAATTCTCATAGATGTTTGTACTGTAGGGCAGGTTGATAAAGATTGGATCCATATCTTGTACATCTGTGATGGTGATCGCAAGATTGGCCAGAGTAGAGAGAGGTTTGGTTTTATCCTGGTCCTTAAAATATACAGAGGAAAATATATTTTAATTGGTTTTAATGTGTTTTATTCTGTTAATATGTCTTACGCATTGCAAGCCGCCTAGAAAGGCCTCGGTAATTATACAAATAAATATTTTAAAAGTTAAATACTAAATGTTATGCACACTATAAATATCTTAAAATAGATACAACCTATAGAAAATCTAAATTAAGACAATTGTAGCATAAATGTAAGATCTGAGCTTCTTTCTACAGATGTTTAACATTTTCTAGAACAAAACATACAAGAGAAGCATCAAGACTCATACTCACTGTAGCGTTGACTTGAAGCTGGTATGCCTGAGTGACTTCATAATCCAGTGCTCGGATGACTGACACGATGCCACGGCCACTATCAATAGCAAAAAAGTTGGACGGAGGCTGGAAAGAATAAAGCACACTTCCTCCTGCTCCTTGGTCTGGATCTGTGGCATTCACTATGAAAATTGGAGTTCCAACCGGGGTGTTCTAGAAATAAGGAATTAAGAAATATACACAGTAAGCAAAGTTCTGCTTTAGAACCAACGACAGTTTTCATTTCAAAAGAATCAATCTATGATTGATTTACTGTACAACAGACTTTCAAGAAGATCCAAAGAAATCATATGTTTTGAGGATTTATAATAGCAATGCTATCTTTAAGTGTGTGTTTTAAGTATTTCAATTAGTTATTAATATTTCTCAATTATGTTTTATACCACCCAACTGCCAACTCTGCGCAATTCACAAAACAGAATATTACAGTTTCTAAGAAAGTGAGTTTAATCACTGAAAAATCGCTGGTTACTTCGTGGTACAGATCGAATTTTACATTTCACTGCAGGACTTCAATTTCCAAGGACTGCAAATGGATCTATAGCTCACAATATCATTGCAGCTGAAACGTAAAAGCAGTATTTTACAACACATCAAAAATCAAAGGTATAACCTGGAAGTTTACATGTGTAAGATAGGCATCCCACATGTAGTATTACTGCAAAAGCTTATCATTTTAGTGTTACGAGTACCTTCATAAATGCATGTAAGGAAGATGTTTGACATTAATCCTTCAATTCAGGAAACCCCTGAACATAAAGAAATTGCAGAAAACCTCTAAGGAGCATAACTTTATCACATCTGGCCAATGGTCTGAAGGAACATGATGCAGTTCTACTGCTGAGAATAAGCAGGTCCTTGAGAAGTAAGCTGCACAGGTATGTTCCTTCATCGCTTTGGAAGAGAGTGGCATATACATGTAAGCAGCAGATATGCAACACAGTCAGAGATACACCATACCACCTGGATGGGGAGAAGATGGCTGTAATAATATCCATATCCCTCTTGCCAGACCAGGATTAAGACAGCGTAGCAGCTAACTGGGGCCAACTGCTATCATGTGGGGAGGAAATAATGGTGCCTGGATTGATCTTGCCATGAAACCCCATCTCAAGAGGCTGTGTAATTCTCGCTTCTCTTGCCGAAGATACCGTACCAGACAGGGGTCCCTACAATGCCAAGGTGTTCCTGTGATACTCCATATCTCCCCACACAGTAAATGAGGGCAATAAAACTGCTCTCTCAATGTACTACAACAGAAAATGGCAGGTAGCAGTGCCTGTTCACCTTTTTGCCTCAAAAATATTTGAACATTTTCACCCTTGTTTTCGTAACCCTCATATTACTAGAACAGGCCTACTTTATATGAACGGAGAACGCTTTTTATGCGGGAGAACATGCAACGTTTTCTGACAAGCAGCTTTGTCATTCCTTCTTGTCTTGTTTCTGTGTAAGGTATGAACCTGCTTTGAGTGGGCTTTTTGTAAGAAGAGATACGACCAGTACAGCACACAGTCAATAGCTAAGTTTAACAAGAACTCTTATACTCTGTTCAATATCGGAGGTCCTGTTCTGTACGCTTCACTAAAAGAGTTTAGTGGAAGTCTGCTACAGCAAGTACATCCTCTTGGTGCCCAGAAATGATCTTCGGCCACCAAACTAAAACTTGATTTTAAAAGGAAGACTTTGAACTTAATTGACTTAGTTCATGAATTCATTGACTTATCCTTTGCTAGTTGCTATTTTTTGCTTTTGTTTTAATCCCACTTGTAAAGTTGTCTGCTTGGCCTTTTTTACTGTATTATTGTTTTAGGTTTGTTATTGTGTACTTTAATGACTTGTTTCAAAGTTTTGTAGCATTAGAAGCACAGAGATATTTATAAGATAAATCTCAATAACCTGAAAACAAACAAACAAAAATAGCACAAACAGATCTAGCTGAATGGCCCATAATGTTTTCTTCATGTTTCACTTGCTCATGTCATCATTAGCAAATCTAAAACTTTCTGCCTGCTTATGTAAGTACTGCACCAAACATCCTGTTCTATTCAGTAGCATCATTTTAAGCCAGTTATTTTCTAACAAAATGTACTACTCAGTATTTGGAAAGAGCTTAATTACTTTTTTGTGCTTTATCCTGTTAGAGAGTTAAGACTTAAACCATTACAAATCAACTGTTAACATGGAAGAAAGCAGGAATATAAATGATGTACAACTCAGATGAGATTTTGGGTGCATTGTCCATAGTAAGAATAATAATAATATTCAGAAGGATAAATCTGCTCTTGATTAATATACATAGTCTTCTTTATAAGTGTTCCCCAGTTACTCTTTTAAACATGCAAATCTGCTCTGGTCACCAGCGATTATCAAGTCTGGCAGCAAAAATGAAGAGTTGAATTTCACTGCCATTGTTTTTCACACAAAGGCCCTAATGTCAGGCTTTGAAGAGAACTTGTTCCCTAGCCCCTAGACAGCTCAAAACTAAGGAGCTGGGGTCAAAAATGTCACAATGGTTTTGTTCTTGTTTTGTCACAAAAACAGATGAGAGAGTATCTTACAGCCAATATTTTTTTCTGATTTTTGGGCTGTAGCTGAAATAAAGTTCAATTGATTGTCTCTGAACTGGTCAGATTTCCTATTGCTCTTGCCCTTAGGAGGAGAAAGATGCAAGAACAAGGCTTATTTTTTTATTTAAGTCATATAGGATAGAATCATTTGCTTCTGTACAGAACAGAGATCCGAACAATGCTACAAGGTCAGTGCTCCCCTGTAACTCCTCCTAATCATCCCTCTTTCTCATAACAAACTCAGATGTTGAGTGCTAACAGCAATGTAGCCAGAACAGGGCCAGAGAGGAACAAGCGAGTGGATGGTATCGGAATGCTTGGAGCTACATATAAGCAAACCGGAGGGGCAGCTGCCAACCCCTCTCCACCTGCAAAATTCCATTGTAAAATAAGCATGCTCAGTAGCCACAGCATTAAACAGTGTTGGCTGGAAAGGGGGAAATAGAAAACTGAGGGTGAGGGCAGGGTGTCCCACGGGAGAAGGGCATGGCTGATGAGGACCTTGAGCAGGGGTACCCCCTTTAGGAAGTGGGAATTGTTTATAGCATTTTATTGTTCTTTCCAAAGACAAACCTAAAGGTTAAGACCCAAGAAGTGGGTTTCAGTACACCTAGGGTTCAACATGGTACGGAGATAACGAAGCTTATGAATTAAAAGAAAAAGCTTTGCCATCCCCTAACCCACCAACTCAAACTGCCTAACAAGAACCTGTTAGGTTAATGATGTTGGAAACTGGGTGTCAGGATCAAACTAGACATTAAATGAATTATGTTGTGTGTAGCTCAGTCTGCTCTTGCTTTCTTACTCAAGAGTAACAGTGTGTAGCCCCAACTCAGATTGGGACCAGTGCATATCAGAAGGGGTGGAAAAAACAGTCAGGGGAGCATTTGCTCCCCAAAATCAAAATCTTTCCATTAATACAGTGCTTTAAAATTAGATTCAGTTGGGATCCACATTCAGCAGTGAGCCTGGACAAAGAACACCGTGGGAGGGGCTACATTTTTTCCATTCTGGTTCTCGACAATACACAAACACACACTTCACACAACTCCACAGACACAGACACACCAGTGCATGCTTTTGCTTCACTTATCCGTTCATTCAGTCCTCCCACGTGCTCCTAGTCACACCATTTCCCCTGTCACTTGATGTTCACTTAATTCTTTTCCCTTGAAGCCAAGACGGTAAATCGCTGAGGATCAAATTCTATTTTGGAGACATTTTCTGGCCCACATTCCAGTAGTGGACAGAATCAAACTAAAAATGGTGCAGCCGAAATACAAAAAAACTCCAGCATATTTTAGTTTAATGTTCTTACTGCTGATATCCAAGCCTTGAGAGGAGTTTCAATCATTCAGAATGGGAGAAAAGCCTGCAAAAAGATCCAGAGGTCGTTGAACCACCAAAGAAACAACAGTCAGGAGAAATGCAGTGGAGCCAAGGAATAGGCATAAGGTCCAAGGCATGGGTGGCAGGCAACTAAGACTGGAATGCTGGGACCAGGACACAGGTACAAGGCGGAGTCCTGCAACAGCTTCGGAGGGCCAGAAGCAAGCAGCATGTTTGTTTAACAGTGCAGAGTCAATGTCCGGGAGACATTAGCTCTAAGCAAACACAGTCCAAGGTATCACAATCCAGAGGACATGTTCCAGAAAGACTGTCACATTCAAGAACAAGGCAAGGTCAGGGAAGATGGGTGCGGGCACCTGGGAATCAGAGTCTGGCTAGAGACAAGCATGGAGGCAAGAACAGGCAGGGATAGACTGGAGCAAGGAAAGAAGCAGGCAGGCAGGCAGGGACTAGAATTCAAGCCAGACAAGGCAATGTGGACAGCCAGAGAACGAGTGAGTCGCAAGAAGACCTTGTGTTGCTGTGGCGAACAGCAGCAGTGCAGGGAGGTCTCCAGGGCCTCTGTCTGCACTGCATCATTGCCCCTCACCTTGATCCTTACAGTGGCCATCAGGGGGATATCAAAGGGTCATTTGGAACCCCTTGGCCTGAGGTTGCACATCTCTTTCTTAAAGGGAACTTGAAGCCCCTTTCAGTCCATGGCTTTGGATACTGGGTTAAGCAGGAACTTCCATTACCTCTAACCACAATTCATGTCACTACTATGTAACAGTTAGCCACAGTGGGATTCAAGAACAGGTGAGCAGGGAGAAGTGCGGTATCCTATTGCTGCTTCCCATTTGCTTAACCATGACTGATAAACCACTCAACAGTGTCACATCTGACCCAACTCAACATGAGAGAAGTTAGAGACACAGACATATTTTTCTCCAAGGATATAATTAAAACTTTGAACATCCCTTCCTACATGGTAGATTGGCTGAAACATTTAAAAGCTGGGGGGAAAAGAACGTAGCGCCACTGCATGTCTGGTGTAAAAAAATACAGAAACCAGGTCAAAAAGTGCTAAAATACTTTGATATTGCACACATACACAAAATACATTTAAAACCACCAATACTGAATCATTTATAAAATGATCAAAAAGATATCTTCGGTTAAAACTCTCCATTTAAGCATGGAGAGGGTCCTTTCTGAGAAGGCTTATCTTGCAATTGCCCTGCCTCCTTACAG